TTCCCCAAATTATCCAGCAAGCTTACAGTACGTCCATGGTTCTAATCAGGTACCCGTTTGCAACAAATTATAAAAATGCGAAACTGGAAATATTTTACAACATATAACCTTCACATTCTGATCAGGATCCATGCTGTTCGCTTACATACCCTATAACAAGTAGAGAAAGTGATAGCAAACAGCATGGATCCTGATCAGACTGCGCGGATGCACAGGCTGGTCTGGATCCATGCTGGTCGCAAACCCATTATGTTGGTTTTGTTATGACACGGCTCAAATGTACTTATTGGGTAGTATAAATTATATTTGCGTAAGAAAGTTTCAATACCAAAGCATATGCATATGAGAATTGCAAAGTACAGAAACAAGGAAAGAAAAGAAAGGACGAACATGATCGGGATGTTTGCAACACAGCTTCTGTACTTATCTCAAAACAATATCAAATATAAGACAGTCAAATTGACAAAAACCAAACTATTGATTCAAAAATATTTGTTCTAATAATTTGACCGTTCACTGGAAGTTTTTATGGCTCTTTTGATATGTCATCTTTCCGTAAAACATTTGAGCCGCGTCACGACAAAACCAACATAATGCGTTTGCGACCAGCATGGATCTAGACCAGCCTGCACATCCGCGCAGTCTGATCAGGATCCATGCTGTTCGCTTACAAACCCTATAACTAGTAGAGAAACTGATAGCGAACAGCATGGATCCTGATCAGACTGCGCGGATGCGCAGGCTGGTCTGGATCCATGCTGGTCGCAAACGCACTATGTTGGTTTTGTCATGACGCGGCTCATTTATATTTCTGAGGAAAGAACTATTCTGCTAAAGAAAACATTGAAAGATTTGTTTCAATGCCTACTCACAATATAAGAATTGGATCATTCCGTGTCACAGTTCTTAAAATGAAAAAACAATCTGCTCGGAAGCCAATAACAGGCGATTTACAAATTTAATTATATTTCGTGCGAACATATTCTTGGGATTCTTTTAAAGTACATTATGGAAGGGAAAAATTAAGTACGCCACAGAAAAACAATTTAAAATAGATTCAATGTCAATAAGTGCCTCTGTGCGTAAGAGAAAACAAACTGTAAAAGCTTAATTTGTTTTTCCTTCTTTTTTTAATTCTCAGCTGTGCAAATGTGATATTGATGCTTGACGTATGTGCTTAATGCTTATGTACAAACTGTGATTACCATCACTTAAAGTTCATTTTATTCATTTGAAACCTAGTAACTGACACATTTCTTTAACCTGACTTTATGTAACTTATATACATGAATCATGTAATGATTTTGGTTCAAATTTTAACTTTTTTGTTTCAAACATTTCTTGATTTTTTAGAGAAAAGTTGATACGACATTGATAGTAAATTATTCCACTGATTTATAATTGTTATGACATAAACAAACATTTGAGACAGTTTCGCACCTACGATTCTCGTTGACTCCCAATTTAAACAATTAATGATGAGGTCAAAATAGCTAGTGTCTTTTTAAAGAGACATGACCGGAATATAGGACTTATCAGGACCGATTACAATTAGATGTGCTTACAATCTGTATACATTCTTGAGATTTTCTATCTTCAAGGAAAGTCATGGTAAAACACTAACCGACAAATCTGTGCTGGAATCAATGATCCTGAAGGATAAAAAGTACATCAACACTGAAGTACTTGACAATGTTTTATAGATGCCATGCTGCACTTGACACTTGCTGTTTCAGTCATTTAGATTGCAAAATAGTGTTGTTAATGAATAATATATTTTACTGAATTTGGAACAATAAGGGCTATGCATTAACATTTTATTTTGCGTTCCCCTACTTTACAATAAATACTTTTATAATTATTTAAGTTATGAAGAATCCAAGAATTGCAAATAAGCAAACACTTTCCAGACAATAGCTGAACAATAAGAATATGTGACTGCAATTGAAGATCCTGTCACTCAATTTTGTCATGGTTTTATTTTATAAATATGATGCTCAAACTAAGATTTGTCAATATTTTAAGTTCAAATAAACATTATTTTTAAAGATATTACCCAATTTAACATTTCATGTAAATAAAGGGAGGTAATTAGAGATTTATTAGTCCCCTACCGGTTTACCGGAGGGGACTTTAGGTTTACCCTCCGTCCGTCTGTCCGTCCGTCCGTCTGTCCGTCCGTCAGTCCGTCCGTCCACAAAACTGGATCCCGCGATAACGCAAAAAGTAGTGAAAATATTTTAATGAAACTTGATATATGGATAGATGGCAGTATGGAGGTTATGCACGTCTTTTTCTTTTCTTCCTATGTTGAAAATTCTGGTTGCTATGGCAACAAATAGACTGAAAATATGACAAATTTTACACATAAACTGGATCCCGCGATAACGCAAAAAGTACTGAAAATATTTTTATGAAACTTGATATATGGATAGATGGCAGTATGGAGATTATGCACGTCTTTTTCTTTTCTTCCTATGTTGATAATTCTGATTGCTATGGCAACAAATAGTCTGAAAATATGGCAAATTTTACACATAACCTGGATCCAGTGATAACACAAAAAGTACTGAAAATATGTTTATGAAACTTGACATATGGGTAGATGGCAGTATGGAAATTATGCACATCCTTTTCTTATCTTCCTATGTTGAAACTTCTGGTTGCTATGGCAACAAATAGACTGAATTTCAAGATTTCTTATTCTAGTTTTTAAGTTTTTTCACTATAAATTCTTTATTTCTTAAGGTATTTTCTTCAAACTTTAAATATAAGTTGCTTGTCATCAACCATATCATATGTGGCAAGGTTTACAACTCTAGTACAAAATTTATCAGAATTACCACCCTTGAACTTAAAATTTTCATGAAAAAAACATTGTTTTTTTTTAATAACTTCTTTTTCTAAATGTATCTACTTCAAACTTCATATAAATGTTTCTTATTGTCACTCAACATTTGTGAGTGTTCAATACTCTAGCAAGACTATTTCCAGAATTATGCCCCTTTTTGAACTTAGACTTTTTTTTGAGAAATTGGTAATTTTTACTCCAACTTCTTCAATCATGATAGGATTTTAAAAATGATATATTTTGATAACAGGGATGTTTAAAAAATAACTTTAGAGTGTCCTTCAGTCCGTCTGTCTGTACATAAAAACTGTTTCCTGTGATCACTTTTAAAGAACTTTTTCAACAAATTAACTTAAAATAGGAACATAAGTGAATGGCCCTTCAGAATGTTGCTTGGGCTCTTACCGGTAGGGGACTTATGGATTGCTTGCAATACTATGATAATTGCTTGTTTTCTATAAATTCTAAGTCAAATTTTTTCAGTAAAAAATGAATTCATGTAATTTATTGATTAAATATAATGTGCACAAATATTTGCAGTACACATTTTATATATTCCTTGATGTTTGAAAATTGTTTTATTTGCATAATTATATACATATATAATTTTTTGCAAGTGTGGTATACACGCAGCCAGCCCGCATAGCTCAATCGGTTAGAGCGCGAGACTTGTAATCTCGACATTGTGGGTTTGATTCCCGGGCTGGCCAACTAAAACTACTAATCAGTCTTTCGGATGAGACTTTAAACCGAGGTCCCGTGTATGGGTGTTTAAACACTTGGCACGTTAAAGAACCAGGAGAAGCTTCTGGAATTGGGGCATCTTACTGTATCTGTAATTGCACTATCCTCCAAAAAAATAAAATGACTAATACTCTTCTGGAGGACTCGCCCATATGGGCAACCGTTGGCGAGTATAAATAAACACAAAAACACACACGTATACACACAGTAACAATATCAATCACAAAACATATAGGATCTTTAAAGCAATTTTATTGAATAAATAATAAAAGTATATATGAAATTTGAGAATGAGCTTATAAGCAAATGGCATGTAAAATATACATATTTTCTTTTCCATTGTTGATTGATATCTTGTAGTTTTAAGGTTTTTTTTGTTTTTTTTCCCATTTATTATCATTTTTTTCCCCAAATTATCCAGCAAGTTTACAGTACGTCCATGGTTCTAATTAGGTACCCGTTTGCAACAAATTATAAAAATGCGAAACTGGAAATATTTCACAACATATAACCTTCATATTCTGATCAGTCTGATCAGGATCCATGCTGTTTGCTTACAATTACCCTATAACAAGTAGAAAAAATGATAGCAAACAGCATGGTTCTTGATCAGACTGCGCGGATGCGCAGGCTGGTCTGGATCCATGCTGGTCAAAAAACCCATTATGTTGGTTTTGTCATGGCGCGGCTCATTTATTTTTTGAGTAGAAAACACATTAAATTAATGTGGATTGATCTACAATGGACATATTTTCTGAAATAAACCATGATGATGAAAATGTTATGGACTAGACACAAAATATATACTGTTACAGAATATATTAAACTTTGACCTCCAAGTGTGACTTTGACCTTAGAGGTAAACATTCGTGTGTTGTGCAAAAACACTTTGTCTCATTATTGTAAGCATTTGTGCCAAGTAATTACAAAATTCCTTGAACGATTGAATTAATTTTATATTTGTCACATTTTGTTTTTTTTGGAAATGGTGATAACAACTATACAAATGTATTTCTATTGACCAGTGGTTATTTCATTTTATTCTGTCGCCTTGAAAAAGGGCGACATATAGGGATTGTTTATGTCGGCGTCGTTGTCGTTGAAGTGCAGTGCATAGAAACTGCTGATCTGCATTTCTTATTTTTGAGTTATTGCCCTTTGTTGATTTTCAAATTTCATTTTTGTCTTTGCCATTTCTCTTAAACTATATTGTTCACAAGGCGACACATCCGACTTGCGGAGTTCTAGTTTCTTTAATGAATTCATTGTTGCATGTGCAGATCTAGCATTGATCAAGATTTTTCACTGAAAGTCCAGATCCATAATTCAATCTACTTGAAATTGCACAATTTAATGCTTCATGTAAAACATCCCTTATGCGAGAGACATTGGTAACTTTGTCACAAATTCTTGTTCCATTCACAATATTTCTCAAAATATAATTTATCAGTATATATTATCCTGTTTTATTTTCAGCACTATCTTTATGAATTAATCATCAACATCCTAGTACACAACAACTGTTTCTACCAGTTACATCAGTTCCTACAGTATCATGTGCTTAGTGACTCAAAACCTCTTGTAAGTTATACATTTATACTCAACAAATTTATTATTATTTGTAGGACACTAATTTTCGTTGTTTTAGTGGATAGGTAATTCTTAAATTTAAGATCCATCAAAATTTTATTGCCTCTGCTGTAAGATTATTTTGCATCACATTATTTGCATTTTAGTACCAAAATCATTTAAATATTAGCTCAAAGGTAACAGTGAAGGGATAAATTGCATTTGATATGAAGTAGTTTTGGTATGAACATAATGTAGTTGTGTTTTTGCTGTTCTTCTATAGAAACTGTAAGATGGTGACCGGAAAATATTTATTAAACAAAAAATTAAATGGCTAATAAGCAATCCATGGGTTGAAGAAAAGTTACTTTATTATTGGTTACAAATGTTATATATGCAACAAATTGTGCTTATTAAATGGGAAAGTGTGCTTAAAAAAGTATTTGAGTTTTGGCATTGGATGTCTGTACAAACTAAGGTGTGGTTAAAAATAATTTTGTATCATATTGCACTAGAGATGACTATTGTTGTAAAACTTCCTTTTTTTAAATGGTAATTATGTACTTATTTCCTTATTCATAAACATATACCATTACATAATCAGTTTCTCTGTGACTTTCATAATGGTTACTTATTCTTACTACCCATAAAAGGTAAGAGGGAGGGGGCATTTGTGTCTTTTTGACATTTTTTGTTCTATATGTAGCTTTGTAAATGTGTCATATAAAATTATTAGAGCTGTCATTGATTCGGTGCAAAAGCATATGATATTGATGATATATTGATATGGGATGACATTTATTGGCGATACATTGATATATCAATAATATCTTGTCTATAATTCACTTTCATATCTGTTCAAATGATTTCAATAAAAAGATTATTCTGTTCATACAATTATGATATGTCTGTGTTAAAAAAAATGCCAATGGCTTGTGTTCTTTTTTTCTCATCACTTCTTTGAAACATGTCCATTAAGTGGAGTGGTGGCCTAGTGGTTAAGGTGTCTGCCTCTCAACCCAGAGATCATGGGTTCGAGCCCTACTCGGGTCACGACTATGTTTCTGTATATGACACCAGTACTGATTGTTTCTAGGAAGCGGACTTGAAAGTGGTTAATATTAGTTGCAAAGATTGTTTCGCAATCATAAAATAAAATAATAAATAAATATGTTTAAACCAACATGTCTATTGCATAAAGACTGCAGACACCTGTTTCTGTACTGGTCAGAGAGATAAATTGGACTCATAGATAACCCTTACTCTTGTTAAATATAATTGTCATAACTTTGTTTTTCCACAAACAAGCACATGGTCACCTAGTAATATAGGAGTCGGACAGAATGTGATGATTTTTTGTAAGTTGGTAAACTTTTTAATGTTTTTTAGGTAACCTAAACTTTTAGTAGGCAGAAACTGCTTCAAAACGTTCTCTTACCAAATTTACAATAAGGTTAGAATTTTATATACCACAGGCCACTGACCTGGGAAAGGTTTTTGAAAAATTGTTCAAATATCCACAAGAAATAGATAAAACTTTTAAGATGTAAAAATATCCACATGAAATAGATAAAACATATAAGATGTAAAAATGAATTATTGATGCTGATGTTCCAGTCATTTTTCAGATTAAAGTGTCGCCTTTATCTACTGTTGTGGGGTAAAAAGACTGTGTTTTGTATGCCTCATTTAGGACCTTATTGAAGTACCAGTTTCTATTTTGATACATAATTTTGTAGTGTAATATTATGTCTTTATACTGAAATTTGTTTAGTCGGTTCATTACTTAATATATACAGGGAGATAGTTAAGCTATTGCAAAAAAATGTGTGTTTAAGTATCAGAGTTATCTCTTCTGCAACCAGTATAGGTTTTTGGGTGAATGTTCATAATTTTTAGGCATTTAATCAGTCAGTCAAAATTAATCGATTTTTATGCCGCCGCAGCATCTGCGATTCGGTGGCATATAGCGATTCACCTGTGTGTGTGTTTGTGCGTTTGTGTGTTATATAGATTATATAGTGAACTTAAAAAATCTTCTTGTGAAAAACCACTAGTCCAATTTCAACCAACTTGGCAGGATTGATTCTAGGGTGAAGGGCTTCCAAAGAATTTCATTCCATGCAGAAATCTGGTTGCCATGGCAACCAAAAGGAATTATAAGAATAAATTAAAAAATCTTCTGGTAACGACCCAAAAGGCCTAGAGCTTAGATATTTTGCATAAGGCATTGTCTGGTAGACCTCTACCAAGATTGTACAAATTATAGCCCTGGGGTCAAAATCGGCCCCGCCCCAGGGGTCATTGATTTTCACTATATGTACATATAGTAATAACTTAAAATACCTTCTTGTATGGACCCAAAAGGCCTAGAGCTTAGATATTTTGCATAAGGCATTGTCTGGTAGACCCTTACCAAGATTGTTCAAATTATACCCCAAGGGTCAAAATCCGCCCCACCCGGGGGTCATTGATTTTCACTATATGTACATACATGTATAGTAAAACTTTAAATACCTTCTTGTAAAGACCCAAAAGGCCTAGAGCTTAGATATTTTGCATAAGGCATTGTCTGGTAGACCTCTACCCAGATTGTTCAAATTATTGCCCTGGGGTCAAAAATGGCCCCGCCCCGGGGGTCATTGGTTTTCCTTATATGTATTTAGTAAAAACGTTTAGTAAAAACTTTAAAAAAATTTCTTGTAGCAATTGACAAATGCTAGAGGTTAGATATTTTGCATGAAACATTGTGTAGTGAACCTCTAACAAGATTGTTCAAATCATAGCCCTGGGGTCAAAATTGCCCCCGCCACGGGGGTCATTGATTTTCAATATATACATATAGTAAAGAATAAAAAAATCTTATTGTCTGAAGGTACAAGGCTTAGAGCTTTAATATTTGTTAAATGATATCATCTATAGGTACTCTACCAAAGTTGTTCAAATTTTGCCTCTAGTGTCAAAATTAGCCCGCCCCAAGGGCCATAGGTTTTCCTTATATGTATGTAGTAAAAACTTAAAAAATCATCTTCTCTAAATTTACAAAGGCTAGAGTTAAGATATTTTGCATGAAACATTGTGAAGTGAACCTCTAGCAAGATTGTAAAAATTATAGCCCTGGGGTCAAAATTGGTTCCGCCCCGGGGGTCATTGATTTTCATTATCTTCATATAGTAAAAAATCAAAAAATCTTCTTGTCTGAAGGTACAAGGCTTAGAGCTTTAATATTTGTTAAATGATATCATCTATAGGTACTCTACCAAAGTTGTTCAAATTTTGCCTCTAGTGTCAAAATTTGCCCTGTCCCGGGGGCCATAGGTTTTCCTTATATGTTTTCAGTAAAAACTTAAAATATCATCGTCTCTAAATTTTCAAAGGCTAGAGTTAAGATATTTTGCATGAAACATTGTGAAGTGAACCTTTACCAAGATTGATCAAATTATAGCCCTGGGGTCAAAATTGGTTCCGCCCTGGGGGTCATTGATTTTCATTATGTTCATATAGTAAAAAAAAAAAAATATTTTTGTCTGAAGGTACAAGGCATAGAGCTTTGATGTTTGCTATAAAATATCATCTATAGGTACTCTACCAAAGTTGTCCAAATGTTTTCTGAATGGGAGAAAGCTACAGCTTAGATATTTGACTTGCAATGTTGTTTGGTGGACCTGTATCAAGATTGTTTTGAATTAAACCCTTGGGTCAAAATTTTGCCTTGCCCAAAGGGACAGTGACCTACTTTCTTGTCCTTTGATGTACAACAATGAAATTTTGACCATGTGCACAGTTTTAGTTGTAAAATTGAACTTTGATTTCAGGTGACCGAGATTTTGATGATGTGACCTACTTGTCCTTTGATGTATAGCTATGAAATTTGAACCATGTGCACAGATTAAGATGTAAAGTGAAGTGTCTTACTGTGTTGCTTTTGATGTAGTCATGAAATTTAGGCTGTGTGAAATATATGACCTTCACCACCAAATTCACTAGACTCAAGTGCATTAATATATTCCTACTCTGATCTTTTATTGGATTAACAACAGATTTAACCACTAATCTGATAATAAGAATTAGATAGGTCAGGGATATATGCATTATGACAATCTTCAATTGTATAGAAACAAAAACAATCTGTTCCTACACTACTATGTAGTGTTGTATTAATGCGGTGGCGTAGCATTTTATCAAATGCAATCTTGTTTCAAATATGTATTTATATTGATCAACAAAAACCTATCAATAATTTTTCTACCGATGACAGCTCTAAAAAATACAACAATTTTTCTACCGATGACAGCTCTAAAAAATACAAATCTATACATCTAATGTTATATTCTTTTCATTTTGATTTAAACTTTTTGTTGTAGGCATGTTTGATGCTGTCATTGGAAAGTGTTTATCCACCTGCCCACCAGCTTGCATTAGACATGCTTACAGTAAGACTTTTTGTTCATTGATCTACTGAATATGTATTAATCTACTGTATAAGTGGTTATTCTCGTCACAGCCAGTCGATGCGTGGCTTGGATAGTATACATGTAAATAACAATGCCCACTTATTTTTATAAACAAAATATTTTTTCACTCATTTTTATAAACAAAATTTTTTTTTCACTCAAAATGTTTTTAAAACATCTTATTTTCAATGAAACAAGAAAGGAAAGTTGTTTTTAAAATTTTTATCCATATATACTATAAATATAGTATTTATATTTATAGTATATATGAATGAAATTTTTAAAAACAACTTCCCTTTGTTGTTTTATTGAAAATAAAATGTTTTTAAATATTTTATTATAATATTAAGTGAAAAAAATATTTTGTTTATAAAAATAAGTAGGCGTTGTCATGTACATGTATACTATCCAAGCCATGCACCGACTGCCTGTGATTTTCGGGTGTCGAAAATATAGCGAATTTAAAATTCCAGACATTTTGTGTATTTGAGTAAATATTACCAGATCCTGCCAGGGTAGCATTTAATGACAGGTTGGTTGATATTTACGCTAGAGAAAATTTTAACAATTTTCATCAATTCACGAAATTTCCTAATATTTCTGCATTGCTAACTTAACAACTTATATAGTGTTTGTATTAATACAAATATACAGTTAAACTGTGTTCACTCAAACTTGGACTAATTGAAAACCTGTCTTTGCTCATACTCACCGTCTTGTTCAGTCTAAATCCTTTATATTGTTCTACTTTGGATTACTCCAGCAGTGATTGCTCAAACTCTTATACCTTCCACCACAGACTTTAATAATGACATTATTTTTGGGCATGTTCAAAAATATATAAAGAATACGAATCATTTTAGAACTTAATATATCTTAATGATAATTAAATATAACTCCGTGTTTCTATTTTAATGCTGGTCCAGTAACGGAAATGGAGGCGAAACCTGTTTTATTTTTTATCATTTTCAGAGGAAAGGTGAACAGAAGTTTGGATGTTTTTAGAATGTGTGTTTTTTTTTCTATTGCATGATATTTAAACCTCATATCAATTTTTTTTTGTTGTTTTTTTTTTTCTCATAAAATTTTCATCTAAATACTTTAATATCAATATAGATATATATAGAAGCAAACTGTAAATATTGCTCTGATGATGCGCAAAAAACATATATTTTCTTGTTTCTTCGCCTAACACATTAATTACGTAAACAAGTTTTGTATCTTTATAATGAACATTTTTGTTATTTAAACTTGCCTGGGAAGGGCCTTCATTAATGTTGGTAAAACTTGTGGCCCAACCCATTTGCTTCAAACTGTTAACATACATGTTTCCTTATTCGTATTTATTGTATTCTGTTTTGTATTAATGTAATCTTTATGTTACATGTACATGTTTCAAGCAATAAAATATGATTAAATCAAATCAAATCACAGACTTTAAAGTACGTGCTTCCACCAAATATGGAAGATGATCAGGAAAACGAACTAAGAAGTTTCGCGTCATTGACAGAATGCTCTGACCTTGTTTTCCTATAAACAAGAAATTTTGCATTGTTAATTGTATTATATATAGTATACTATATATATATATATATATATATATATATATATATATATATATATATATATATATATATATATAGTTTGTGGCATTACAAAGTCCAGATAATTTTGGAACATCTCTATTATTTGATGATAATCATTTCGTTATATTATATAGTAAACTGTTTCTTCGGATATTAAAATGTTTTGCTCAAGTGTTTTTGCATCATATGCCCGGAGAGAATTCCATATAAGCTTTAAGCTTTCTACTCAATCCTGGATAAAAGTTATGTATTGTAATTTTGTTTGTTGCCCTGATGCATATTGTCGGGGTTTTGTCAATTTGTTGCTAAAAATAGTAAATCTGTTTCCAGTCAATAACTAGAGTAAGGAATAAAATATTTCAATTTAACTTAGTGTATAGCAAGCTTATGTAAATATCTTGCTTTTGGGCCTGCTAAGGTCAAGTTTAGGGTCACTTTTACTAAAAATAGAAAATATGTTTCTGGTCAATAACTAGAGATTGGAATTAGATATTTTTATTATACCCCCGCACAACAAAGTTGTAAGGGGGGTATACTGGAATCAGCTTGTCCGCCCAATAACTTAAGATTCCTTTGACCCACAGTCTTCATATTTGGCATGGAGGTTAGTTTCATGATTAGTAGATGACCCCTATTGACTTTGAGGTCACCAGATCAAAGGTCAAGGTCACAGGGGCCTTGACTTCAAAAAGCTTGTCCGCCCAATAACTTAAGATTCCTTTGACCCACAGTCTTCATATTTGGCATGGAGGTTAGTCATGATTAGTAGATGACCCCTGTTGACTTTGAGGTCACCAGGTCAAAGGTCAAGGTCACAGGGGCCTTGACTTCCAAAAGCTTGTCTGCCCAATAACTTAAGATTCCTTTGACCCACAGTCTTCATATTTGGAATGGAGGTTAGTCATGATTAGTAGATGACCCTATTAATTTTGAGGTCACCAGGTCAAAGGTCAAGGTCACAGGGACATCAAAAAGTTTGTCTGCCCAATAACTTTAGATTCCTTTGACCCACAGTCTTCATATTTGGCATGGATGTTGATCATGATTAGTAAATGACCCCTTTTGATTTTGAGGTCACTGGATCAAAGGTCAAGGTCATAGGGACTTTGACTTCAAAAAGTTTGTCCACCCATTAACTTAAGATTCCTTTGACCCACAGTCTTCATATTTGGCATGGATGTTCATCATGACTATAAGGTGACCCCTATTGATTTTGAGGTCAAAGGTCAAGGTCACAGGGACCTTGACAAAAAAAAGCTTTTCTTCTCAATTGCTAAAGAATGTCCTGTCCGCAATGTATTGATTTTGACATTTTCACATTTGAAGCATGTAGAATACATAACTTAGCAATGCACTGGCTTAGTAACCTCAGATTTGGCAGGGAGGTTGTCCTTGAGCTCTAAATGGCGACTGTTGATTCTGACAAAGTGGTATGCAGGGGTATTCACGCCATGATAGTGGCAGTTCTAGTATTGCTATTGAAATAAATGCTATATGCTATAATTATCATGTTTTGTTCTTTAGGGATTTGGATGTGAAGTGGTGGGGTTTTGTCCACTCTGTAAAATTTAGTAGTGGGCTTTTGTCCACTCTATAAAATTTTGATTGGTGGGGTTTTAACTGGTGGGGTTTTGTCCGTCTTCCGTCATAAAAAGTTATTAAAAATGAATTACCAATCATTTCATCTTGATAAAAATCTTAGTAAAACTAGTATAATTTGGTGCAAAGCAAGTTTTTATAAAGACCTCACTTGGAATGGCTTGTGTGCTCCCAAGGGTCAAGGTTACTGTTACTAAAAATAGAAAATTCATTATTTATAATTTACATTGCACATAATTACATTGATTGTTGCTTGTACATGTATTTGTATTTCAATTACAACCGATCTTTCTACAATGGGTTATTAAAAACCTGGTTTCCTGGCATTGCCTTGTTTCTTGTTTTGAATTTTGTTTGTTTGGGTAAGAATAAAATTCTAAATGGTTTATATTTTACTATCAAGTAATTTTATTCCTATATTTTATTTTATATTTACAGAGACTGGCTACTGCCAATGAAGAGATTATAGAAGTTTTGTTATCTAAACACCAACTTCTCCCAGCTGTGAGGTATGCTATTTATAGATAAGATTTTAGCTTGGCAATACAAAGTGCATGGAGAGCTGTCCTGTTCTCCATGGCATCCACATCTGCGTCCAGATTTCTGACTAAATTATTTATTCAGTAAAATATTTTTTACTATTATTTCTTTATTTCTTAGGGTACCTACTTACTACAAATTTTCAATATTTGTTCCATTATCATCAACCACATCATATGTGACAAGGTTCATAACTCTTCTAGAAGCAATATGTATAGAATTATCTCCCCTTGAACTTAGACTTTTCCTTATAGGTACTCCATTGAGGTTATTTGACTTGGCATGTGACTGAAAATATTTTTTTGGCATTAATATTTCATTTGATATAGGTCTAGACCAACTAATGTGCACATTTCAGATCATTCGCTCACTTTGTTTTTCAGAATAGTTATTCTAAATGTGGGAAATGACCCGAAATTGGAAAAGCAACCCTTTTTGCTCAAATATGTCTAAAAATAGCACAAAATACAACTTTCAACTTTTTAAGTATCTTCATTATCTTTGGCATGTCTTTTTAGTCTTATACACCACAACTTTGTTGTTTTGATAAGAGATTGTGAATTGAGAGTTTGTTGCATTTAAATTGCTTATCCTTTCATTGGTGTGTTTTAAAATTGATTAGGATATACTGATTACAAATAATCTGGAGTACTTTGCCATTTCTGTTGTACAAGTGTATAAAGTGTCTCTTCACTTCAGAGATGCACATGAGTTTTTTGGCAGAAAGATCAACTCAATCAAAAGTTTTGCTTTCATGATTTCTTTTGTTTTTAGTGATCATTTAGTCGCTGCTTTGTCTGTCTGTCCGTCCTCTTTTCTTGTCCAGGACATTACTCTAAAAGTATAAGAGATATCAACATGAAACTGTGTGGGTAGATAGATCTCATTGGGTAAATGTGCAATGCCAAAAAAAAACTGTAACTCTGCCTTGCCTAATTTTGAAGTTATTTTTGTTAATTTTTGACACTTTGAACTTTGTCGGGGACATCACTCTAAAACTATGAGATATAAACATTAAACTTTGTAAGTAGATAGATCTCATTGAGTATGACCTTGACATTACTGATATCAACATGAAACTTTTAGGAAGATCCATAAGATCCATAACTCTGCTTTACCTAAGTTGGAGTAAATGCCCTTTGTTCATTTTTACACTTTAAACTTTGTGTGGGACATAACTCTGTAATCATAAGAGGTATCAACAAGAAACTTTGTAGGTAGATAGACCTCATTGAGTAGAAGTGCTGTGTAAAGAACAGTAACTTTGTTTGAATTTTGTCCGGGGCATAACTCTGAAACTACAAAAAAAACACACTTTCTGTGTCCAAAACCTATTCGGGGAGCATCACCCGGTTCAACCGGCTCTTGTTTTTTTTGTCTGCAGATTTATAAGAAAGGCAGGTATCACTGACACAGTCTCATCCAGAAAATTTCTAGAAGCTGCCATGAACACAGAGGACAATCAGCTATTTTACACAGTCTTCAAATTCTTTCAACAAAGAAACATTCGAATGAGAAGCAGTCCAGTATTTCAACCAGGTAATTGATACATCTCTCAAGTACATGCTAAGATTTGTAGAGAATTCATATATCTCTCTAGTTTATATACATCTTTCAAGTTTAGAGAATTTATACTTCTTTTAAGTTTAATAATTTATACATCTCTCATGTACATACTGAAATGTTTAAGATATTAAACTTAAGAATTTATACATCCTTCAAGTACATACTGAAACACTAAGAACTTAAAATCTCTCAAGTAAAAGAATTTATACATCTCTCAATCTTAAGAATTTATAAATCTTTCATGTACATTTTGAAACATTTAATAACTTAACACCTCTCAAGTTTAAGAATTTATACATCTCTTAAACTTAAGATTTCATACCCTTCTCAAGAATTTATACATCCTTCAAGTACATACCAAAGGGTTAAGAACTTGAAAATCTCTCAAGCTTCAGAATTTAAAAATCTCTCAAGCTTAAGAATTAATACATCTGATTCTCTCATGTACAACTGGGGAGGTTTAAGAATTTATTCATTTTTTATGAAGAATGAAGACATCTCGAAAGTACAACCTAAGAGGTTAAAGAATTTAGACATTTTTTTCAAGTACAAACTTGAGAGGCATAAGTACAAAATCTTACACTATTTTGCTTGTTTAACAGAAGTTGAATAAGTCTGATACAGATTGGTTTTTTTACAGATGTTTGCCATGATAAAGTTGTAATGTGACAAAATCATGCTTCACCTTGCTGGAAATAAGGGATTTCAATATCAAAATACTGAAATTGAGATACATGTGCTAATATTATAAATCCTAGTCCGATATACAGGCTGGTCAGACTCGATACTCGGAGCCATGGCTTATCACTTTTGGTTTCAGCAGAATGGTTAAAATTGACAGCCTGTCGTTTCAAATGTTCTGTATATTATTGTCTTAATTCAGGAATGGTTTTCATTTACAAGTTTAATTATTGTTTTTTTTTCTTATTTACTACAGGAGAGCACTGTGAACTTTATGTTAAACATTTTGAGAAGTTGTTTGGTGCAGATGCATTAATGCCATTCTCTAGTTCAACGTAGGCCATAACTGGAAAATGTTTTCATAGGTAAGTAAATAAAAAGAAAGACATGTGATAACAGGAAAATAGGACAATATTATATGACATAAAGAGGACAAAATAATATATCAGCATAACTGAATAAGATGGTAGCAAAAGGGCAAGGCAATATTTTAGAAAAATAGGACAAAATTAGATGATAGAATAAGACAATGTAACATTACAGGAAAATAGGACATTGAAAAATTTCAGCGAAGGACAAAGCAATATTACTGAAAAATAGGATAATATTGAATTATAGAATAGGACAATGTAATATTTCAGGAAAATAGGACATTTTAAGATGAAAACAAAGAGGAAAAAGTAATATTATTGGGAAAATAGGACAATATTGAATGACAGAAAAGGACAATATAATATTACAGGAAAATAGGACATTTTAAGATGAAAACAAAGAAGAAAAAGCAATATTTTTGGGAAAATAGAAGATTCAAGATTGCTGCAAAAATAGAACTTTACAAAGTGGATGAAAAATAGAATAGAACTATTCATTATGTTTTTAATATGACTTCAGCAGTTGTTGCTATAGTTTGTATATAAGGATTGAAGACTTGTAAGAATGGCAAAATATAGGACCATGCATCATATAAGTAATAATATTTATAATAGCTGCCGGTTTCTTTTTGCCGCGCCAGTTTTTGGCAAATTCAACCCCTATTTTTACACGCTTAAAAAAAATGAAAACTATCTTAAATTGTCATATTTACTACAAGGTTTAAAAGTTAATATGTTCTGTTTTTCTATCTTTAATACTTTTTTGTAAAAATGCATTTAAAGTTTGCATTTGCCATGGCAAAGTGTGTTTTGCCATGGCATTTCGGCATTTTGCCATGGCAAATAATTTGCCATGGCAAATTAAAATTGCCATGGCAAGGTTTTTCCTACTTTTGCCATGGCAAATTTGCCATGGCAATTATTTTTTTAAAACATCACAAAACTTTCTAAAACTTGTCCTATGACATGTTATTGGTCGTATTGTTATGTTTTTATTGTAATCTCTAATTTTTTTCATTTTGCCATGGCAAT